TATCAGTCTCAACCTGTGACAATGTTCAAGTGGTAGCTAGGAACCAACATGTGATCCATGTTTTGTTTTACAGTTGATATGAAGACAATGGAAACTGCAGAGAAACTGGCGAAATTTGTTGCTCAGGTGGGACCAGAGATTGAACAATTCAGCATAGAAAATAGTACCGACAACCCTGACCTGTGGTATGTGCCCATCATATCCTTTAAATTGGAGTGAGTTCACCTCATAAGACATACCCTTGACCTAGGGTTCACCCCGATTAGGTCTTACCTGCACATCTGCTGCACTCAGGCCAGGATTAGAGAGTGCTTTCGGCCATGCCTGGGTCGTAGAAAGGGAGACTTGCCCTTATCTGCGGTATCTGGAAAAACTGGCCCAGAGAGAAATTCAAAATGGATCTAAGAGCCAATGGGCATTCTTCAGGGGGAGGGAGTGTCCAGGGCAGGGGGACCCCTGCCTCAGGTCCTGAACTAAGACCGAATAGGGCAGGAAAAGGGTGGAGAATAGTCATTCTGGCTATTCTGATCAGGTGAGAATTTTCTGTTCCTGTAGTTGTGATCACCCTAGTCCAGGTGTGGGAGCACTAGTCCACTTCCTTAGGGATGGGCTGGCACCCTTCCTCAAATGGGGGGCCATTCAACACTGTGCCCATGGTATCTGTATGTATCCTCCAGGACAACAGGGAGGTTGCCAGAGTTTGTAATAATGATGTTTAGTGGTGTTTTAACCAATGTCTTGCTGTGCTTGTTTGTCATACAGGTTTCTGTCTGATGATAGTAGTCTGGAGTATAAATACTATAAGCTGAAACTGGCAGAAGTGCAACGGATGACCCAGACCTTGCCTGGAGTCGGTCAGAAGCCAATGGTGGCAGAGTGTGCGGTCCGTGCCATGCTGTATGCCCGGGCAGTCCGGAGCCTCAAGAAGAGGCTCCTTCCAGGGCGCCGTCGGGCACTATACCTTCAACGGTTCCGGGGCTGGAAACCAAGAAGAGCGTCCACTGGCACCCAGACCCTCCTCTCCTCAGGCACCAGGTTGAGGCACCACAGCCGGCAGGCTTCAGGCTCCCTTCGGGGAAAGTCTCCCAAGCCAGACAGAAGTGATATTGCCAAGAACTGCCTGTCAGACCCAGCCAGACCCTCTCCTAGGGATCCCACTTCAGAAAGCTCAGCCCCATCACCCAAGCCAGTAGGAATGGACACATCAGAA